CCAGGGATTGAACTCAGGCCCTTGCACTTGCCAGGGAAGTGCTTATTCCACTGAGCCATCTCCCCGGCCCTAACACATACTTTAAAAACTATGGATTTTTCTTCCAATTCTTGGAAACAGTCTGAATTCTGATCCATGGATTTAAAGGGAGAAATCACATTACATAGTTCAACTTTACTAATTCTCATGGTCTGATACATAATGCATTAAGACCATATACGATGAAGTAAAAGCCCCTTCTTAAAACAGAGGATGTGAACTTTCCAATATGATGGATATCAACAACTGCAACTGGTGCCCATATTCTGGACGAGCAGAGCTACATCCACCTTAGGATGACCATTCTGCTCTGTGTACCACTGTCACCCTCGCCACCACTTACCCTAAGTGCCAGGCACCCGGACAAGGCTGGTGATGGCCAACATTAACAAAAGACAAGCATCAAATTCAACTCTCCTACATAAGTACTTTCAAAAAACTTTACAAAAATGATGTGGCCTCTCTAATGCTTTGTTTAAATTTTAAAATCTTTCTAAAAGTTAAAGTAGTACCATTGTCAGCAGTTTAGTGAGATAAATAGTACCTTCAGATTTCAACGTCATTGAAAAATTCATCATTATTAAAAGACAGACCATATAATACACCTAGAATTCACAATAAAAATAGAAAACATTATAATTTACAAGAATAACTTTTTAAAGAATATCTTTTAAAAAGACAATGTTACAGTATTTGTCCTTCCCAAGTCTCTTATACTGTACAGAAAAAAGATCAGAAGAACATGAATATACTATTCATTATTCAAAAAGTTCATATGATTCATTTCAGTGCAGGTAAAATGCACTATATCAGTAGAAATTTTATGCAAAGTCTGCTCTTTTTATTTGGTTCACTGAAGTAACTGCAAATCTTCCGTTACCTAGGTAATTAGGAAAAGTAAAACTTCACAGGGCTTGTTTTTAAAGATAACACAATGGCATTCCAAACAACTTACTCCCTGAAAAGCACCATTTACAAGACTGAAATCCTAATAACTTTGAATGGCTTAGGAACTATATTTAAATTTTCTTTTAGATTAAAACTACCTTTTCTCATTTGGGCACAAGGAGGCCATTCACCTGAAACTGATGACACCTGAAAAATATTCTCTAAACTACCTTATTCAAATATGCCAAGTTCCAAGAAATTTTAAAATCTGAAATCTTTTTAAAGTTAAAATTATAAGATTTATAAGATTCCACATAAGTAGTATGCTACAGTGATTATAATTTATTTTCACAAAAGCAGAATGGCCTGATATTCTAGTCTTCACCTGGTATTTTGCCACCTAACCTCAGATGAGTTATACCTCCCTAGTCCTGAGGTTCTTTACTCATAAAAAGAAAGCTCTAAAATGTCAGTTTCAGAAGCTCATTTCCCTTCCAAATTTGCCTCATACTGTGCTTGGCATGTAACTTGTTCCAGGAACTCAATAACTATCCATGGCCAAGAAGGTTAGAAATGAATGTCAGAGACATCCCACAGAAACTTTTAAATGTACTATTAAGTGTAGAGTTTGGAAAACAAAACCAACTGTCACAACCATGATACTGTCTTTATTTCTGTTTGTTGTTATTTTCCAGAGCTAGTCCATGGTTTTCATCATGCTAGGCAAGTAATGCAACACTGAGTAGCCTCTCCTCATTCTGTAGTGATAAAACCAAATGAAACTTCGAAGATTCTAAATCTTATTCATGCATTATTCATATTTGATTTCATTACCTTTTTTAAAAAAGTGATTTCATTTTAAAGTTAAAATATTCTGTCTTAGGCGAGTTTAAAACAGGCCCCAGTTCTAGGACTATAAATATGTTTTCATAGCTCTAGTAGTACAAATGTTATGAACACTCCTTTTGTTTCTCCATGGTATGTAAACGGCTTTATTTTCTTCATGAATAGTGCACACACAAAACCTATTCCACCTACATAACTACTGTGCCACAACAGAATGAATTTAAAAGAAGGCTTTTCGGGAGCAACAAAACATTAGAAATTCTAACCACATATCAAGTAAGTGTTGCAAAAATTAAGAATTTCAGCAAAAGAAATTGAAATTCCTCATTTTGCCTCATTGGTTTTCATTCATCATCCTGTAACAAACGTGACAAAAAGAAGAACATTGGGTATTTTATGCTTCAAAAACTGATAAATATCCTATAGTGATCTTTACTGGGCTCTCGTGTAGGACTTCTTTATTTCTGTAACAATTTTTATTACATTCTAGGGATTTCCACCAAATGAATCCTCACATCGTAGCAGTAGGATTGGATTTTAATTACACTATAAAAATGTCCCAATTTTAGATAAGAAAGTGGGATACTGCCTACTCGTTTTTTTTTTTTTTTTTTTTTCCTTTTGGTGTGTGTGTTGGGGGTGGTATAGCTGTAGTAAGAGACTTGAACCCAGGGCCTTGAACATACTAGGCAAGTGTTCCATCATGGAGCTATACCTTTAGACCACTGGCGGTGAGCCTATGGCAAGCATGCCAGTGGGGTGTTTATATCACTGAAAGCCCAAAATGCTTCATCATCACTGCCCTAGACTGATACTGACTATTCTTATTCATTTTTTCTTCATGTTTATGGATACATTTTCAAATACTCAATTGAGATTATCTTAACTAGTACTCAAAAACACCTTTATTTCCTTGGCTCATGTGTCCAGAAGTCATGTGGAGATCTGTGCATTTGAGAAAACTGGAGGAAAGATGGTGAGGCTGGAGATGAAAACAAGTGGCTCTCTGAGGCCCAGGAATTACTTCCATAATGGTATAAATTAGAGTGGTCATACATAGTGCTCTGACTCTAGACTGCCCACCCCGCCACACTCACCTCATGGCCAACTATCAGCCTTCTGTGGAGGCCACAGCAATCTTAAATCAGCAAGAGGAAGGATGTTTAAGACCAAGACCCCCTACTGTCCCAGAGAATTCTCTCCTAAGACATATTTCCTTTGAAATGGCTTCTGTATTGCAGGATTCTTATTCTGGTTACCTGAAACACTAGCTGTTCTTCAACTTTCAGAAATCTTACACAAAACTGTGTGGAGTTGGGGCAGTTTACATGTGTATGGGTTCATTTTTTTATGGTGTAGTGAATGGGGTAGGATGGGAGCATGTATTTGTCTATCTCAAAAATCCATAACCCACTTTCAAATACCAAGAAAGCCATCGCTACACAGAACAGCCATTGTAATCTTAGCATTTTTCTTCCACTGACTATAAATTTAATGTACATATACCTTAAGAGGAATGTAAACATTATGTACTGTAAACATGTACTATTAAAAAATTGAAAACACTGTCGGTTACCTTTGAGGGAAAGATTAAAAGAGTGTTTATATATTTGAAATTTATTTCTTACATCTAAAGTTTGACATTATGAGTAATGGTCATTCTTTCTGTATATATGACTTTGAAAAAAAAAAGAAAAAAGGACACCAGACAGTATGAATGGTGGGCACAGGGGATATGACCCAAAGGATCCATATGCTTTGGTAAGACAAATACTATATTTGGTATATAAATGATTTCCCACCTGTACCAGTCAAATGTAGTTCAAGTTCTAGAAAATTTAGAAAGTTATTTTTAAAAAATAAAAATAATATTGAATTGAGAAAATCTGCCCCAGTTCACATTAAGTGAACAAATAATGGTGAAAATTAGGACTAGTTTTCTGTCTGGTTCAATATAAAATACATAACTGTTAATTCTAATACTGATTATCATCATTCTCATCATTATTTGCCAACAGAAAGGTAGCTGTCAAACCTAAGGTAAGAAAAGATCTCAACCAATCTTTATCTTCTAATTATGATCAAGGTATCAACTCACGCAACATTTCCTGCCCACTGAGAAGTAAATTCAATGAAAAGTCAGCTTTAAGTTTACATTATTATCAAGCACCCTTGGTAATGTCAACCGCTATTTGCTGTGATCACCACGTTTCCACCAGAAGGAAGTGAGTCTTGATGGCAAAATGTATTGTATTAGATTTAACTGTATGAACATTTAGGAGCTTTGATGAAGTCAGCAAGGGGTAAGGCAAGAAAAGGATTTTTCTCCTAACTGTGGGAAAAACTAGTTAAGAATCAACAAGAGGCACAAAAATTCCTTGTTGTATATTTATTGCTCATCAAAAATTCCAAAAATGAATATAAGGTAGGGCTTTCTTTACTCCTGGAAGAAAGATCATGGAATGCTCTCGTATCATGTGCTGGCTCCCTGAGTCAGCTCAGTTCTGAAAAGAGATGATAACATATAGCAGCATTATTCTATTCTTTTAGGATGTGTACATATAGGTTTTCATTTTTTAATTTAATTTTATGCAATTTATTTCACAGGGGGACAGAGATAAGGCATAAAATAAATACATGACACCTTGCTCAATGATCCAATCTTTTTTTTTTTGTATTTAGGACAGGGTGTACAGGGTGTGCAGGGTCTCACTGCATAGATTGGATTTGTAATGATCCTCCTGTTTACAGCCTCCCAAGTGCTGGGATTACAGGCGTGTACCAACATGCCCAGTCTCAATCAGCATCTCAGCATGCCCTGTGGGGCACATTGGGGCACAGGGATCAAACTCTCAGCCCCTGTGTCTGTCTAAACAAGCTCTTTAATCTGCTGAGTTATTTGGCCAGCTCTCTCAATGATCCAATCTCAGGTCACTAAAGTTCTCTGTTGAGAAAACCCAAGATTTTCGACAGTGTACCACAGTCATACATATTCAGAAAAACACCCGGAGTCGCAGATCTCTCAGAAGGCAGAAATTCAAACTAAAAGTTAAAGAACAGAAGAGACATGACCCATTCATTTAAATCAAACCATTTAAAAGCCATATTAACTAAATCTTTTCTTCAGTGACTACTAATCATACTTATCAGCAAGACAGTTATAATGCAGCAGAGGTCCTTCTCAGATTGAAATCTAAGAGTCTGCATGCTTGTGAAAAGTGACTCACCTCTACAGGTAATACAGTGGCGCTCAGGTCATGAGCTTGTTCCCTGATTCTGGGGAAGACAAGATAGTCATGGCCGTGCTCCTATGGGGAAGATGACTGCACTCTTGCTTGTGTGGCAAGAGGGCCACCATCCTGTTTGTCATAGACCATGCAGAGTTTGCAAACAGTGGCAAAATTCTGCCAAAAGTTTCTGTTTGCAAACCGAATTGTTTGAGAACAGAAGCATTTGTGAACTGTGGTACTACTGCACATAACAGTTTACTAAGGTGGACAGAAAAACAAACAACCCCTCCCCCCATAGACGGGTGAGTTGTGCTGTGATCATCCTCATTAACTGGTGCCTTACAGAAATGAATGCTGGTTTGGTTTGGTCTGGTTGGTGGTACCCTCAGCATTTCTGTAATTATAACCCCCAACTCTAAAAGAACAGCCCAAAAGGCAAGTATAAGGCAATACAAGAAGAATAAGCACAATTTCATTACTACTAGCAAAATGAAAACGCCAAGCATGTGTGCTTTGGTAGATGAAAAAATGGCACAACCTTCACGTGCAGTACTAAAATGCATTCATACTTGCTTTCGGGCACATGTAGAGCAGCACATCTATTGAGAGGTGGTGCTGTTTTATACAGATCACCAGAACAAAAAGTTATTTTCAAAATCTATCAATGGAGAATTTCTTAAATGTGAAAAGAATTATAAAATCCCTCCAAGACTGGAGCTATAGGTTACTTTTGAGTTACCCAGTGTCTGAAACAGCATCAACTCAGTAAACTTTTAATGAAAGATTGAAGACATTTGAAGACAGATCAAATTGTTGAAATCAATAACATTCACCAAAATAAAAATACCAAATGATTTTGAACATAAACATACATACACATGAGGGAATAAATTTAAAAGAACAAAAAGGAACATATTAGCTAGGCTACATAAAGAAATCATCTGAGAAAAACTAGGTGGAAAACCCATTTGGAAAAGTAGAGCACAAAAAAGAACACACTGGTCAGAAGAGCTAGCAGAAACAGTAAGGACTGGAGGTAGGAGGCAGGTGAAGAGAACTGAGGTGAGAGGGGAACCCTCTAGCATGGAAGCAGGCACTCCTAGCCAAGTGTTTGTAGTGGGAGAAAGGACATGTGAGCTTTAAAATTCTCCAGATACACATATATACGTGGTAAAAACAGAGGAGAATACAAAAAAGAAAACTCTAGAGTATTCTCAGACTCTACATGATCACAAACACCAGGTCTCCCTCTGAACTCCTTTATAGGCTCCTAGCTCTTACATCCAGGGATAACAGCTGGGAGGAGCACTCGGATCACAAGAGCTATGCTGATAAACTAAAGACGTCAAGGACTCGGCACTCTGCAAAGCGAATCTCTACAGATACCACAAAGCCTTAGTGTTATCTCCAAGGTCGTGGCATATCCCCAAAGATTCAAATACCTCAAGTTAATGACGTTCAAAAGGCAAGGCACAATGTAGAACTTAAGTGGGAAGCAAAAGAAACTCCAAACGGAGCAACCAATTAGCAACTCTACAGAAGGAAGAAAAAAAAAATTCCTATGTTCTTCTGCAAGGAGAGATCATTTCTTCTACTAAGCTTTAGTGTCATTAGAAGAAAAGATTTAATCCCACAAAGCAATCATAAGGAAGCATAGCAGTAACAGCAGAACATTCCTATCCTGTGTATTCTCTAAAGAAAGAACACAAAATGTTTCACTTTGCTGAGGCAATAACGACACTGGCTCAAGCAAGAATGAAAAGCTATCAGGCCAGAGGCCACATACACGTAACCTCTCAGCCCAGACCCTGGGTCCAGATAGCTCTACTAAAATAAGATCTGCAACAGTGCACCACTAAAAGGATTAACATCTCTATACAAACCTGTCAATCTCATCATCAGTACAAACCAGTCATTTCAACACCCCTTTATGCCGTTTTACTTCGGTAGCTCCTTTAAAGTTTAAATAAGATGAACATTGTACCTTCTGAAATCTAGAGAGTTTAAAAGGTATACAACCTTCCTAACTTTTGTTGAATGTATTGCTTTGAAATAACTCGACAGTACAATCTCTCATTACTTCGGGCGTACCCGAAAATAAACGGTGGGATATTCTCTGGTCGAAGGGAGGACGCTCAGGGGTGTGGAGCTCGGTGGGATTTCCTAAGCCTCAAGATCAAGGGCACTTTGGGTTCAAGGCTGAAGGCGTCTGAAATGTGCTTAAAAGACCTAGCCCACCGCAAACTCGTTTAAGAGGACACCACGGACCAGAAAACTGCGCACACGGCGCGAGGGGCCATTTTACCTGTGTCGCCGGGTCCCCAGCGCGACGTGAAAGGTTCGCAGCGATCTGCGCAGCTTTCCGAATTTCACCAGGGACCCCAGCAAGCAGCAGGCGACCCTAGGTCCCCTCAGCGGGCGGCGCTTGGAGCGGTCGTGGGGAGAGGGGTACCCAGGGTTCCCCGAAATCAGACTGGCTACAGCACGGGCCCGCGGAGCCCCGTGCCAGGGCGTCCCCCGGCGCTGCCCCGACCGTCAGTGCGGACTGGACGAGCCGCGGGCACCCGGCGCTCAGCCTCGCGCGAGCGACCAGGGCTGCAGCCGCGACCCG